GACTTGTACAAAAACTGTTTTCAGTGACAAAAGGAGCACGCACACACAATGGTGTTACCTGAAGGCGAATGCCACCAGCAGCAAGAAGCATCAGAGCCCAAGCATTTGACCAAGTAGATGCCACATACCATGTGGCTACTTGCTGTACCTAATGAACTTAGTCAGTTTTTGCCCACAGTGCTTGAAGTGCAAGAAAGACAGCAATTTTTTCATGCCCTTACTCTCACAAAATGTGCTACAAGACTCTGAAGATTTTAACGTGATTTGGATGGAAATTTACAGTCTGTTCGTTTTCTATTTTTTGTGATTTTATTCAGCAGAGTTGACCTTTCATTTAATGAAAAATAAACGATGTCACCTTTCATCAAAGTAAACATCTCGAAAGCACACTATTTCCCTCACAGTCACAAACAGGTTAAGATGTGGAATTACAGCTCAACTCAGGCACCACAAGAGGTTCCAAAATTATAGGTGGTATCGAATCCTTTCCAACGTTATTTCTTTACAATGCTTATTTTCACTCAGTCCGCAGAATGAAATGAGCTGTTCTAACACTCATCGTGAAATATTTTTCAAGGCACATTCAATCAGCAAGATGGAAATAATTTCTAGAACAGCCTATCACATGGTTCATGACTTCAAAAGCAAAGAGAAAAACCGAGTTATCACCTTCTAGGGGCAGGCTAGCTCTTCCCTTTCATCGGGCTCAACTCACACCCAGCTGTTGCGTGGGACAGGTCTCCAATGGACGATGAACCCGATTCCTCAATCACACCTCGGAGAACACATCTAGGTCAACCAGCGAAACAGTCCACAGACCGTGCTCCACCTTCTGCTTTGGGAAGTCGCGACTAAGGTCCTCACGGTTTGTGAGCAGCTGTCCTGGGTGACATTCCCGGAGAGTGAGGAAAACCAAGGGTGTGTGGAAACAGTCCACAAGACAAACGGATCCCATGGGCTCTAGTTTCCGAGACCATTTACCAAAAGAACTCAATGGTGGCCTCCGATGCTATCCAAGGTAAAATTTTGAAAGTTTGAGGCTAGTGAATTACCGAGAACAAGGCCTAAGATGATGCTCAATGGTTTGCAGACGATTAAGAGACAAACTTTGTGCCTCAGTTGGCAGCACAGGTGAATCTGAAGAGCAACTTGAAGGGAAGACGTTCTGGGGATTTAAAAGACATGCTGGCCTTCATGAAAATAGCACACGGCAATAAACAAGTGAAAAAGAACACTGAGAGAATACACCTTCCGGCTTTGTATCACAGTGGCCACATTCTAATGGGTGCGAAAACTTATTAGGTGCCAGTGAGCTGAAAGTCGGAGCGAGAAACGTGGTTCAAAGGATCCTCTTATCTACTTTCTTATCAGGTCCCCAAATATGAAGAAATCTAATCTCTTTATGATAATCTCTAAAAGGCTGTGCTGTGTCTGAATCATTATTTAATGATACCAACACCTGGTCATATGAAATGGAGAAATCGTCAAAGCTCTATAAATCACCAGGGAAAAGAAGCCTAAAAATAGAGCCCAACGAATTACATTATTTATAAAGGTGAAGCATTCTGAGACTGATAATTACTTTAAAGGATGGCAGCAGCCAGGCAGAAAGAGGCAATTGCTCAAAGTGCTTGCCGATGAAGCACTGGACTTTCATTTCTAGGGCAATGTGCTTCTCAGTGGCCAGAAACGCCTGTCCTCTGTGGTGGTGGCTGAACGCCACTTCTCTCTCCTTCTGGCTCCTTGGAGGACGGGGATCCTCATTGCATCCCGCAGGTTTCTTCTCCCGCGTATTTCCCACTGCAGCTGGGGCTTCAGTTTCACATCTTTTGGTCCAGTCATATCTAGCTGCACTTTAATTCACCTTGGGACGTTCGTTGTTTCTTTTGCCTTCTAATTTTAAAACCAGTTATTTTTCATTACTAGTCCTACTTGTTATTTTTGAAATCTACCTGGGCTTAATGGACCCTGTCCATTCTCCTATTTCAATTTCTTCTCTCACAGGTGTAATCTTTACAGACACACATTCACACATCCAGTGATTCCAATTAACAGAAGTTCCTGGAACGCTATTAGTCTTGCTCCTTGTTACACTCACTGACAAGGTGCATGGAAGATTGTTCCCGGGGCACATTCAATCTGAGCCTGTGAACTCTTGGGCAGCGAAGCTTCATCTGGGAATCCAGTGTGGCGTCAATTAGAGTGGTCCTCCGAGAACAGCGGCTTCGGCGAGGCCAGCCCGGGACCACTCTACCTCTGTACCTGTGGGGTCTCAACAACACAAGCACTACAGATTTGAACCCCAAAGCCTCATGAGGGTAGGTCTAGGAGAACACATTTTTGAGAAGGAGACCTTCTGTGTTTATATCCATCCCTAGTCAAAAAGTTTGCCAGTTATCCCGTGGCTTTGAATTCCATTCATCTGCTGACAACTCTCCATCTTCTATCTCCAAGGCAGACTTCACTCTCATGGCCCAACCATTGCCCACCTTCCCTTGAATGCCTGAGAAATACCTCATCCAAACCTGAACCTAATTCCAGGTTCCCCTTTCCTTCATTCACTACGCTCTCACCTCCAAAGCCCCGCTCCCATCTCACCACCTCTCCAGGGGCCAGGCTTTCAACTCCAACTGCCACTCCCGCCCCTTGGCTCTCCTCTCTGCTGCTGACACTGGCGACTCCTCATTCTTGTGGCAAATTTAATTTACATTGAAAAGAGCTCATAGTATCACACCTAGAAGTGAAAGATGTCTTACACACACACACACACACAGACACCAAATACCTGCTTAGATGGCCGCAGTGATGCAAAGCGTTCAGAATTGGTTTTTTGCATGTGAAGCGGCACAGGGGCCTATTTAAATAGTCTCCGCAAGTGCACAAGTTCCCCTCCCTGGGTCACACCTTTCATTCTCGATTTGCTGTTTTCCCCTCTTACACTTGGTTCACTTATTTCTAGAACAAAAGCGCCCCTACCACTTTCTTAAGCAAATGACACTACACCCACTTGTCTTTCTCTGCCTGTGCTTTGTCACCAGTGACCACTCCATACAGAGAGAAATTCTTCATTATTTTTTACCTGGTGGCTGGCTATTCAGCCATGCTTCAACAGCCTAGATTTGGGCTACTTCGATCTTTTGCTGTACAAGCAGCACTACAATTATAAACGTGTAAACATGCCTGCGTTTTTTCAGTGTGACACTGATGTCAATCCTGAGATGCAGAACTGTCAGGAGAAACCACCCGCCTCCCTCAGGGGGAAAGCTGAGGCTCTCTGCTCCGGAGGAGAGTCGCAGTCTCAAACTCCCAGGGGCGGTTCTCCACTGTCCTGTAAGGTCGCCGTGAGTTGCAACTGCCTTAACGGCAGTGAGTCTGTCTTTTGAGAGGTTTGCATTTCCTCCGGGGAATAATCACCCAATAGCATAGGGTAAGCATGGACGTACTTGTGCTAACTTATTGAATCTGTAGTAAACAGCTGCATGTAACACGGTTAAAAACAGAAAACAAAACAATGCAATGGTTCGCTACAAATTAGTAAGTAAGCACAGTGAGCCCATCTGACCTGGGTGCTGTGTCCTGGACTGTGACTTTAAATTTGAATAGAGGCTTGGATTCTGTAGGAAAGTGGCACGGGAGGGGCTGGACAGAGACAGACGGCAGCCACTGATCTAGAAGCAGAATCTGTGATGTGGTCAAAGCTGTTCACGGCTGGCGAGTAAGCAAGCACAAGTAAACCTGTGCTTATCTTGCTTTCTGAGCGCCCCGACACGGATTCCCTGTCCAGCATTGTCTGACAACGCCTGCTTCCTACTGCAGCCTCGTCCACAGAACAGCTGGCCAGATGTTAATTCCCATTAAGGAGCTTGGTGAGTAACGGCCTCTCAGGCCCCGGGTGGCTGCTCGGGTTAGGTGACACAGAGCCGTCCCCGTGTAACAGAGGACTGCCCCATCGGCGCCTCAAGGCTGTGGTCATTACGGAAGCAGATGGGCAAACCTTTCTTTGGGGGAACAGCTGGGCGACTTAGCAGAGGAGCACTTAACTTTTGCACCACCAGGGCTCCTTGGTATTGCGTGTACGTAGCTCTCATTAAGAGCAACGTTCGTATTTCCGCTATGTTTAATAGGCTGCTGGCAATTTTTTTTTTCCTTTGAACCATTTGTTCCTGTATTTTTACCCATCATTTTTTTCTATTAAGTTGGTAACTCCTCTTCTGTCTTCAGGGATCTTAATTCTTTGTGATATAAATCTTTCCCCATGCGCCACTGGGAAGTTTTTCACTAACTGTGTTTCAGCCAGGTTACAGCCATCATTGGAATTACTCGAGTTTTCAGTTTCCCCTCCTACATCTGAGGTCTGAGTGACAGGGGGGCGTTGACTCCACTTACAGGTTTACACAGACTGTCCAATGAATGTGTCCCTTTCCTAGTACTTGTGACGTTTCCTTTTTCACCTTGAGTGTCATGTGCAGCAGGGTCTGTTTCTTCTTTTCTCTGCAATTCCACGAGACTTTTAAAGCATAATAATGGGCCTCACTAGCTGGGAGGGCGACAAGCCTCTTCCACAGCTTTCCTTACAGAGTGTTTCTTTCTGGTTGCTCTTGCTGGTTCTGTCCAATGAAATTCATAATCAACTTGCCTAGCTTCAGAAAAACAACAGCACATACAATAATGATAAACTTCTATATTATTTTAAGAAGGACTAACAGACCGAGTGTCAACATTAAACAGTAAAAGGTACTAAGTTACCATGACTAAACAACCTGGACTCAGGGCTGAAAAAACGTAGCATTCTCCACTTGCAAAAAGGCACAGGCTGAGTCCAGAAAGAATTTGCTGTCATAGAAATTTTTTAGAAATTTAAATAAAGCTATAGTAAGTGTCAGAGAAGCATATTCAAGTCATGTTATTATCCCAAATGATTACAACCTAATTGATAAAGGAGGAAAATCAAAACGACCAAATAACAAAGTGTATAAGACATTAGTAAAACTCTTGCTCACCTTCCTTTTTCAACCATTTCACAATGTTTCCTTCTTCCATAGTTGGGGACAATGATGGCATGAGGATCTTAATGGGGCCACCTGGAGGGGAAAGGAGAACATTGTAACCACACAAACGAAACGTACCTCAAGGCCATCCAAGAGTCCAAAGGAATTGCTATCAAATCCTCTGCAGAAGACTGAGAAAAATAGGACCCCCAAACCTAAAAGACTGCCAACTAGTCCAATGAAGAGGCCAGCACATAACTATGGAAACATGAAATTCTCAAGTTTGGTTCTTTTACATACAATTCTTTTTTTGTAGAATACTTTCCACTCCTTTTCACAGTTCCCTAGTATTCTACATACATTGTCAAGCCAGTTGATTACAAGATTAAAAGAAAAAAAAGGGTGACTTATGTTTCACCATTCTTCTGTTCCACCTTCTATTGATACCAAACCGCCCCCCCAAAAAACCTGACAGGTAAAATGATCAAGGGAAGGGTGGAGACAAAGTAGTAATAACACCAGGTTGCAGCTTTTGAGGATCTTTAACAGAATAATACAGTAGAACTTCAGAAACTTATATTTTAATTTTCCTTTAAAATTATATTATTCAAGAATCAAAAGTTATTTCGACTAGGTGTGAAACGAAAGCTTTGTCTTATCAAGGATGCCCAGGTCTGAGAAGGTAAGTGGTTCATTTAATCTCAGCTCACCTTCTGTAGTACCACAATTCACTCCCAGCAAGCAGCTGCCACTGAGTTGAACCCACTCATGAGACCCAATATAGAGTTTCTGAGATGAAATCCTCATGGAGCACGCAGTCTGTGCTTTCTCCATGTGATGGCTGATGGGTTAGCATCCTAATTCCTAATGCCTGGGGCCACCAGGGCTCCTCATCATAAGGTATCCAGGGATCTTAAAAAGTAAACATAAGCCAAGGTGACCTTAATTAAACCTAACTACCTTTTTCAGAGAGACCTAGATGTGCGTCCCAATAGTCATTCCCTGTCCAAAACAATACTCAAGAGCACATAGCTTTAGTTTAGTAAGTAACACTATAGTATGACTATTTCAGGAAGTTTATACTAATACAGTAGTAAAGATAGGCTCACGCTTTAGCAGCAGTTGTGATAACTAATTCTAGAGCCCTGCTTGCATAGTGGTTACAATTTGGGCTGCTAACCTCATGGTCAGCAGTTCAAAACCACCAGCGCTGCTCTAATGGAGGAAGACAAAGCTTTATACACCTGTAAAGAGGGACATTCTTGGAGACCCCAGGGGGCAGTGCCACCCTCTAGGGTCACTGAGTCAGAATGGACTCAGTGGCATGAGTTTCCTTTTCTGGTTCATGACAATTAATTATTTCCCCGAAGCCTCCCAGGGAACCTAATCTTTCTCCTCAGATTGTGAACTCCCAGACTCAAACACTCCGCACGGCTAATCCACCATATGCCCACTGTGGAAGGAGACGGAAGGGGGCTGCTTTTTCCCTCCATAGGTATTTTGTAGTTAAAAGCATGGGGATTCAGCAATAATGCTAAATTCCTTTGAGAAACTAAGCTAACTAATTTCACTATAATTTCAAATGGAGACTTCCCGTGGCTTCACGAAAGAAGGGGCATTTGACGTAGTTAGAAGGAGCTCTGTCTGTCCTCGCCCCACTTTTCACTCACTCTTCTGGAAAAGACTGAGAAAAGGCCCAAGCATAAAGACAGTACGCCTGCCTCAGCCCTTTCCTCCCTTTCCCAACCTCTTCCCACTTGGACGGAGCCTGGGTTCCCTTTCAGCTCTTGCCTGGGCTAGGCATAAACAGCAGGTCTGCAGGGCCCGAGGCAGGATTGAGGTGAGTCTGCTCTGTAAGGGACTTCTAACAAAAGCTCCTGGTCTGGATATGGGGCTATATAGGGAAGCCTACCTATATAAGGCCTTTTTTTTTTACATGGCGGAATGAAAACAAATAAAATCATTTACCTAAAACCATATAACCATCCAAAGCCCCAGTATTTAATTTGAAGCTCATGGTGACAAATGGGACTTACACACAAGGCAAACAAAAACAAGTGGCTTCTAACAGTACCATGGTAAACGGGCAACTTATTTTTTAAAGGTCTAGCTAAAAAAAAAAGGCCCCAAGATATTGTTTCATTTAAAAAGTTTTAGGCTGGCATCATGAGATGGAAGAATCCAAAATACACAATTACATATAAATATATATAAATATAAATATTTATATTTTATATATATATAAAAGAGTTCCACTTCAAAGAAGTAAAGCAAATGGACTTCACACCCAGGTTCCCATTGAGGAGGAAAGCTGAGTCAGTTCTCTTAAAAGCAAGTCTCCCTTCAGTGTTTGTACCTCTTTGCTCAGCTGTCACCCCGAGCTCATATTTGTTCCAGAGTCCACCTGCTATTGTAGTCATTCACCCGAGAGGCCTGCCGTTTCCATTATCCCAGACAGAAGGACTATATTAAAAGACACAGGCACTTATGAAATATTTTCTAAATCTCCAGCATTAAAAACCTCAAGAATTAAAAAGAATAAATGAAAAAAAGAACATACTCATTCCTCTTATAACCACCATTCATGCAGGAACTAAAATTGCTTTTCTGATTAAAAACTGTAACAGATCACCATTCTTACTCTGAAATGAGGGCAACAAAAAAACCAAGAAAGGCATTTTCGATATTTCCGTATATTAGCACTATCTCTTGATTGATCATACTAGCTTATTATGGAGAGCAAAATAGGTAATACATTTTTTGATTAACCAATCTGTCCTCGGTCAGACTAGAAAACCACTGTAAGACATAAGCATTAATTTATTAAGAACAATACATATTCCATTCTACTGTGTCTTTTCATTAGCATAATCTATCTTTTCCAAATGTATTTTTCCAATGGGAAAGTAATTATACAATCATAATATCCGGCTCTGAGTGACAGACTGCATGTAAGTTATTAATATTTATCTTTTATAGCTGCTGTCAGCCCTAGTGAGACAGTGTGGGCCTTCCCAGACTCCCCGAAATTTTATTTCACTTCATAAGAAATTAAAGAGCCTCCCACTTCATTTCACTTAATTCATCCTACGTTTCTCCTGTCAAAATGAGAACAGTTTACATGTGTGCTAATTATATTTTTACCAATTTTAACTAGGCACAACTATGACAAAAAGAATAGCGATATTGTTCATGGTCACATATCACCTACATTTAGTTATGATTTAGTAGTCGCTTTAAGGTGCCCCAGAAGCATAATGGGTTATGTGCAGTGCTGCTAACCTCAAGGTCAGCAGTTTGAATCCACTAGTTGCTCAGAGGGAAAAAGATGAGGCTTTCTGCCACATAAAGATTTACAGCATTAGAAACCCAATGAGGAAATATCTACACTGTCCTGCAGGGTCCCAATGAGTCAGAATCAACGCAGTGGTGGTGGGAGGTTTTTTTGGTTGCTTGTAAGCTTTTACAGTAGCCATTTTAAAGAGCCCAGGGGCTCAATTGATAAATATTGGGCTACAAACCCCAAAGTCTGAGATTAGAACTCACCAGCAGGTCTCTGGGGGAAAAGGTCTAACAATTGGATCCTGTAAAGACTCTCACTGCCAGAGTTGATGACGACTCACAGTGACCTTGTAGGTGAGGGTAGAACTGCCCCTGGGAGATTTCAAACCTCTTTACTTTCCAGAAGTAGAAAGCTCCATCTTTCTCCTGAAGAGTGGCTGGTGGTTTTGAACTGCCACCCTTTCAGATGGCAGCGCGATGCGTAACCACTATGCCAACAAGGCTCCTCCTGTAATGATTAGAGCCCCACAAATCCCATGAGGTAGGTCGACTCTATCACGTATGTATCAATCTATCTCTATGGGGTTGATATGCGTTGGACACACCACGTGACAGCACACACCACCACAGAGCCACTTTTATAAAGTGGACTAATTTTGGAAGTACAGTCACATAAGTCATTCCACCACCAGGTATCATGGCGTCAACCTGGCCTCCTGACAACCCCCATACACACGCCAGTCATTAGAGCCGTGTTCACTTTTCCTCGCAACAGAACAAATCAAGATGTTTGTGCTCCGCGCATTGCTGTCTTACCTGCTACATCGGGCACACATGCAAGCTTAGGTTATTTTTATAACAGTTTCTCTAAGCAATCCCCACACATTCCCAAATTTGCTCTTCCAATTTTTCTACAGCTTAATTTTGCCTTCAACTTCAAATATGATGCACAAATCTAATTTCTTGTCCCTAAAGTATCTCTTTCATGCTGTGGGAACAAAAGCACTGCTTACTTAACTAAAATCAATTATGTTAACGCATTAAACTGATGATCAATATGAGTACCGGAGGTCTCCAGATTGAAGAATACCATAAAACTCTTACAATACAAATGCAGAACAAATTGCCTTGTGGTTCACACGAAGCGGAGCTCAGCCCCATTACTCTGACTGAAGTGATTAAGGCATCTCAGCAGCTTACTTACGGTGCAGCCTGGGCTTCAGGCTCTAGTCCATTTAGAGAACCGCAAGCCAAGCTCGCTCGGTTCATGAAACGAAGACGGACCAAATGAAGGAGCAAATTACCCGGCACTTTCTTAGGAAGCCTCCATCCCTAACATTAATTTACTTCTCCTCTAATAGGGAAAGATGCAGCTCATTAAATCACCTCTCTCAGAATGCAAGCACTCATTAAATAACACTGAACCCTTTTGCTGCACAAATAACACAAGTCTGCCATCTGCAGGCTGGAAGAAATCGTGCAGGCTGAAGTCCAGGTCATTTAAGAGCCAGGACTGGCAGAGGGGCAGTACCCCGATGCTCTGAATAAAGGGAGCTAAGGCAAACTTTGGGGAGGGGTGCTGCTCATAGGAGAAAAATAAGTGCTTCTTCTCTATTCAATCAGCTGCTGTGGTGTGGTACTAGTGTGTAAGATCAGACTGCGAGAGTCCAGTTCACAGAATGCAATAGAAAACTCACAATTATATGAGAATACATGCGTCAGCGTGTGTGTGTGAAAAAATGGCTTCTCCAGCTCTTAGCCTGGTGACAAGCTCATAAAGAGGCTGCACAAAGGGCAAAGGGCACGTGGTC